TAAGTGGGGACCTCCCTGGTGGCACAGTGGTTAAGAGTCCGCCTGCCAATGCAGGGGACACGGGTTCGAGCCCTGGCCCGGGAAGATCCCATATGCTGCGGAGCAACTAAGCCTGCGCACCGCAATGAAGAGTAGCCCCCGCTCGCTGCAACTAGAGAAAGCCTGCGCACAGCGCCAAAGACCCAACGCAGCCAAAGATAAATAAATACAATAAATAAATTTATTTTTAAAAAATTGTCTAATGGCCCTCACATATGGTAAAAGACCTGGTGGTGGCACAGGAGTGACTGAAGTTTAGGAAATACTCGTATCCAATAGAGATTAAACGTCTTCATTATTCATAACAATAAAACAGCTACTACTGAGTATCGGTTATATGCCAGGGACTTTAAATTTGTTATTTCTAATCTTTATAAAAACCCTATGAAGTAGTTATTTTTTTAAATAATCTTTTACTTTTCTTTATTTTATTTTTTGGCTGCATTGGGTCTTTGTTGCTGAGCATGGGCTTTTTCTAGTTTCAGCAAGTGGGGGCTACTCTTCGTTGCAGTGCGCAGGCTTCTCATTGTGGTGGCTTCTCTTGTTGCAGAGCATGGGCTCTAGGCACGTGGGCTTCAGTAGTTGTGGCGTGTGGGCTCAGTAGTTGTGGAGCGTGGGCTCTAGAGTGCGTGCAGGCTCAGTAGTTGTGGCACACAGGCTTCATTGCTCCGCAGCATGTGGGATCTTCCCAGACCAGGGATCGAACCCATGATTCCTTGCATTGGCAGGTGGATTCTTAACCACTGGACCACCAGGGAAGTCCTAGACTTTGTTTTCTTTTTTTAACTTTCACTATCCCATTCATTTAGTGACAGTACTGACTTAAAGACATGTTATATGACATTTCAGCAACACTGCTTTTTTGACACCCTTAATCTTCCGTGGAACATTTCTGTACAGATCCATTAACAGGTATCTCTGTCTTTGATGAACAGTATCTAACATTTTCGTGCACTCATCTTCCTCAGCTGTGATCTTAGAACTCTTCACAGCAGACAGTCCAAGGCCCTGGCTTGGAAGGACGTTTCACTGGGGCTCAGCTCAGCCCTCGGAGGCAGTTTGCGGGCACATCTCTGACGCCTACCTGCTCCTGAGCCTTCTCCCCTGGAGGATGAGGGTCGCTCAAGGAAAGCCTGCCCGGCTGGAGCCACAGAATCCCGCCACTTTATAAACAGCCTCGTTCCTAATCTACCTCCCTGCTCCTTTCTGAGCCAGCGACCCAGTGCACTGGCTGGAAGATTCTGTCCAGAACTGTGCAGACGGGTCTCCATGCCGCTGCACCAGGAAAAGTGAGGACAAAATCACAAGCTGCCTCAAAAGGGGAGAAGAGAAGAACTCTCACGCAGTTGCTTCAATTCAAACCAGCTGTGAGTGACTAAAATGCCCAGTTTATCCCAAGGTATACGTGGGTCCACTCACATTTGGCTCTAGGCCCCCAACTGCAGTCCACTTCTCCCACCACTAGATGGCAATCCCGTTTTTTAAAATTAATTAATTTATTTATGTATTTATTTTTGGCTGCGTTGGGTCTTCGCTGCTGCGTGCGGGCCTTCTTTAATTGCGTCCAGCGGGGGCTGCTCTTCGTTGCGGTGCGCGGGCTTCTTATTGCAGTGGCTTCTCGTTGCAGAGCACGGGCTCCAGGTGTGCAGGCTTCAGTAGTTGTGGCACGCAGGCTCAGTAGTTGTGGTGCACGGGCTTAGTTGCTCCGCGGCATGTGGGATCTTCCTGGACCAGGGCTCGAACCCGTGTCCCCTGCATTGGCAGGCGGGTTCTTAACCACTGTGCCACCAGGGAAGCCCGGCAATTGTGGGTTTTTTTTTGGTTTTGTTTTTGGTTTTGCGGTACGCGAGCCTCTCACCGTTGTGGCCTCTCCCGTTGCGGAGCGCAGGCTCCAGACGCGCAGGCTCAGCAGTCATGGCTCACGGGCCTAGCCGCTCCATGGTATGTGGGATCTTCCTGGAGCGGGGCACGAACCTGTGTCCCCTGCATCGGCAGGCGGACTCCCAACCACTGCGCCACCAGGGAAGCCCGTCGGCAATCGTGTTTTAAAGCAGATTTTATTCAAGCAATAACACTGTTGAAGTTAAAAAGTAAAAAATAACTGTTTTCACCCCATTATGTTGGAATAAGTCTTAAACCCTTTTGTGAGTGAAGATGAGGGAAAACAGGACGTTTCAGCAGCCACTGGTGGGCGCGTGAGCTGACATCGCACTTGTCGGGGGACTGGGCAGTGATGCTCACGCCCTGCACGTCCTGGGACCTGGCAGACATGGCAGGTCTCACCCTTGATAAGGACGAGGATGGCCAACATGTACTGTGTTCCTGCTGTGTGCCAGGCACGAAGCCTCATTTAATCCCCACAACTCTAAGAAGTACTATTATTTCCCCTCAATTTACAAATGAGGAAGTCAGCCGCAGAAAGGTCAGGTAACTCACCCAAGGTCACAGAGCTCGCAAGTGGCAGAGCCACAACCCACACCCTGCTTCCACTGCGCTGCACACGGCTCGTGTTCCAGGAAACAGGTACACCTGGGGGTGCTCACTGAAGCACTGTCTGCAGCAGGGAAACACTGTTGATCTAACAGCCCACGGGCGAGACCGTAAAGCACAAGGGGACAAGGCAGGGCGCTTGGGAGCCGTGCGCTAGATTTAGTGGTGGTCAACCTGGATGATCTCAGAGACTGATGTTGAGACACAGCAGTAAAAACCAAACACAGAAATTAGAGCTGTGTTATTCATGACGACCAGCACAGGTATAAGTAGTAAGACTATAAAAGGATACGCTCGAAATAGCGCACCCCGTTTATGATGGTGTTTGTCTCAGGGGAGAGGCAAGTGGGATTAGGGAAAACGGCTTTTATCTGTAGTGTCTATTATCTTTTTTCTCTCTCTTCCTCCCTCCCTCTTGAGCAAAAAGGAAAAAACTCAAACCCTACTCTAACTCAGAAAAGCATTTTATGATTGATCTTCACAAACACATTTCTTTTTTAAAATATTTATTTGGCTGCGCCGCGTCTTAACTGCAGCATGCAGGATCTTAGTTGCGGCATGCAGGATCTCAGTTAAGGCATGTGGGATCTAGTTCCTCGACCAGGGATTTAACCTGGGCCCCCTGCACTGGGAGCGTGGAGTCTTACTCACTGGACTGCAGGGAAGTCCCCACAAACGCAATTCTTACACCTGACAGCTGTGACTGTCAAGGCAACAGGTGAGCCTTTGCTCAGGCAGGGTATCTCCCCAGAGATTCCCTCAGGCTCCCTCCTCGGGTGTAAATAGCTCATGAGTTCAGCAGGTTAGGCCTCCAGCCACAGCACATCTTTGTTAACCTGGAAAAGAAGGATGGAGGGAAAGGAAGGGAGCCCGGGAGTCAGTTCTGCCTTTTACTTAGTAATTGGTTTGCTTTAAGACAGTGCTTCTCTTTAGGACACCAGCTCCAAACAACTGAAGTGTTTCTTTAAACATAAAAGTTCCAACTGTTCCCTTGCTTCGCTTTTTGTGTGTAGGAGGAGGGTAGGGTAGGTTACGATCAAATGTTTAATTGCTCAGGTGGAAAGGTCAGTGATTAAAACAAATTTCCCCCCTCCAACTTCTTCTAAAGCTGTAGGCAAATTGGTTACCTAGAAACACAATGACTTATGACTAACCGGCCTCCTGTATTGACCAGGGTCAACACATATGAAACCATAGGTCATTCGTTGACAAGTTTTCCTAGAACTCTGAAAGGTTTATAGAGGTTAATGTTCCCAGATTAACGGGGGCTAATGGCTCTGAACAAGAAGCCAGGTCTGAGGGGAAAAAAATCGAAAACTGGTTTTTAGTGCCAGCATGGAGCTTTTGCCAGCTGCCAAATGCATTAATAAGAATGTGTAGGGAATTCCCTGGTGGTCCAGTGGTTAGGACTCTGCACTTTCACTGCTGGGGCCTGGGTTCAATCCCTAGTCGGGGAACTAAGATCCCACAAGCCACACAGCCGGGGGGCGGGGGGGGGGGGGCGGGGCGGGGAAGAAGTGTAGAATTGCAGAGGAAAGGTGGAATAGCTTGGCGTGCAGATTAGCTTTGACTCTAACGGATTGCCTCAAAGCTCAGGACAGTAAGGCTCTGTTCTGCACTTCTGTGAGGAGGCCTCAGAAAAGCAATCTATACTTCCTTTTACAAATACTTTAATTATCCTGTTGCAAATCCTGTTTCCCTTCCCTGGAGTTTAATATGCCACATCGCTTAGGGGAACAAATGGTTCCAAGTATTAGGAACACCCACGATAGTTCTGGAAGAGCTGTGACTCCGTGAGAAACTTCCTCTTCTGCCGTAGTAGCGAGACAAGCTCTTTTCAGTTGACCTCCCCCGCTCAGGGGACTGAGAGCCTCCTTCACTGGTGAGCCTGAGGCGTGTGGTGGATGCAGGGAGGAACCGGTGCAGTTCCGGAGGCCTTAACTGTTCTCACCCCCACCCCCACCACACCTTCCCGGTCGGTTGGACTGAGGGTCTTTCATGGAACAATTCGCGCCACCTCAGCTTGGGAGACTTGGGACAGAGTGACAGGTCCGAGGTGTGTTTATCTTAAGCCGAGAGAGCCTGCTGGGTCTGGGCTCCCCAACTCTAGGGTGAGGCTTGGTGGAGCAGTGGTCACACCTGCTGGGACAACTCCGAATGCTCTCACTTGGTTTCTGACTTTGGAAATTACAGGCTACAGGAATATACGCTGCTTGAAAAATATGTGAGGTGTGTGGAGTCAACACCAGGTCTCCCTCAATCCTCCCCCCTCCTACCCGAAGCTTACTTTCCGTGTGAGGTGACCGTGGTCAAGGGCACCTCCTTCGTGTGTGCATGTACATACAACACACCCCAGAGCTACTGGGTCAATGGTAAAATTCTGAATTTAGAAACAAAATCTAAACAATTCCAGGTTTGTGAAATCACTCTAAATGCACAAATTTAAATGAAAAGCAAAACCAAAAGCCTCATTCCTTAATCACATCTTATATTTTATTTCTTATAATTAATGGCTAACGAAGGAAAAAAGTGTTTGTAGCACCCTACTATTTTAAGACAGCAACTGTAACTTAAATGCTAATCTACTCCATAAAACAGGGAGCCTTCCCCCAGGGCTGTAGTGGGCGTTTATTAAGTCTCCCGAACCCAGGGGCAACTAGTCAGTTTTATTACTTATTAAACATAGGAAAAAATTACATGTTATTATTGTTTCCCATAGCTGGAAAATTCCACAAACAATACATTTTCTACATGTACACAATCCCTTGACTCAAACCAGAAGCTAGCTACCAAAATACCTACAATTACGATTCTCAGACTGGAGCCTGGCTGCTTCTGAGGGTTATTTGGTGGGATGTCAAGGGGCATTGCCCACGATAATGTGAGTGTGCTCCATCTGTCCAGAGAGCAATGTCTACTTGAGGCTAAGGAATCATGTTTATTTTTCAAAAATGTCAAATGGAAGCTTTTTCCCCCAAATTAAATACAGGGAACCACATACATAAAACAAGTTTTAGGAGCCGGCACTGGCAGCAGTAGTTGGCTGATACAAATTCTCACTGCACACATACCCTAGGGGTGCGCACAGCCCTCCCCCCCCCGGCATACCCAGGGGAAATGCTTGGCACACCAAGCCTCACCGCCCTGAATCTCTCAGTTCAAAGACTGGGCGCCCTGCCTGGGACACAGAAAGGTCTATGGGGGTCCAAGAGCCGCCAACATTGTGCCAGTGTTGCTTGCCTTTTTTTCGGGTAAATGCTAGTCAGAGGTAGCAGAGCTGGTCTTTTATGTGCTAAAGTCCAGCTCTTTAAATTTAACTTTTCTGGCTTTGCCTTTTTGGTTGCAATAAATTTCAACAAATTACTAGTTCTGCTTGTGTTACTGCAGCTCTCAGACCCTGTGGCACCTCGTTCCAGATCACAGGCAACAGCGATACATGTTCCCAAACTCTGAGAAAGCCCTGAACGTTCCCACACAGCTTCCTGCCCTTTAATCTAGTTTCTGAATATTCTGGTTCTTTTCCTTCTTTGTATATTCTTCTAGTCGAAGAAGCCACTTTGCCCAGTACTGGGAGCAGAGCTCTGCGTCCATGAAATGTGGGTGGGCAGGGGACCCGTCTTTGTAGGCAACCACGATCAAGCCGCACTGAACCTAGGAAGGAACACAGGGCAATTCCAGCATCTCCACCGTAGCAAGAGAGTTGAGGTCCATTTCCTTCTTACTCCAGGGTACACTCAGAACAAAACAATCTACAGTAACAGCTCCTAACTCAATTTCTAAGGCGGGTTGATGAAAGACTGGCCCAGGATACACAAGAACACAAAGATGACAGTTAAGATGCTAAAGAATGGACTGTGATCGTTAAAGATTAACAACAACAAAAAGCCCAGGAAGAGGGGGAAAGTGCTTTCTGAAGTGGTAGAAGGACAGCAACAGAGTAAGCAGTGGGTTACAAACAGAATAAAACCCTAAGGAGGGAAGGAGCTATAACCCAGCATCGAGCAAAGCTTTAAGTAAGCAGAGGCTCCGCATCCTGACCTGAAAGCTGTAGTTGATGTCATGGTTTATGGCACCAACATACGCCACGACTTGCAGCGGGTTGTCAAATGTATTTTGGATGAAAGGCTTTCGCTTCTCTGATGTCTTCCAATCAATCACACACAGCTTGCCCCTAAAGAGAAACCAAAGGAAGCCCTTGAAGGTAACAGTGCACACTAAAACGCTATTAGGCTAAGCCTCTTCTTACACATAGTTTGCTACTTGTCACCCAACGACTTGCTTCTATTCCCCACATTCCAAGAAGTCAGCTCTCCTGAGCTTTACTTAGGGTTGAAGAGGTGTGACGTTCTCTTTCCTTTGAGCCCCTCATTCAGGTCAGCCACGAGGTATGACGGAAGATGCTTCCTAAGTGCACCCATGGGAGCTGCAGGTGCGGGCCCCGGTGCGAGTGCTGGGAAACAACTTCTCCAGCACAAGCTTCTAAACTTTCTAGACGTTTCTTTGGACCTCCATGGTTTAACAGTTGACAAGGGAATTGAAACTATTATTATCTTAGTTAATTTGGCTTCAAACGTCTATCAGAACGAACCACAACAGACCAGTAGCAAAGTCCCCATCGTTAAAGGACTAAGCATCGTGGTGCCTCAGAAACCAAAGCTGGAGTTCAAACCCATCAACACTTAACAGGCACCAACTATATGCAGAAATATAAATAAGAAGACATGGTCCCTGTCCTAAAAGTTTACACACAGGGCAGGGATATTCCTATTAGGGATATTGGGAAAATAGAAAAATTCCTGCCACTTTTTTTTAGTTAAATAACCAGTACATCCCCCACCCCCACCCCATCCCGGTGGACTTTTACACTTGCCAAGCACAGATGTCAAAAGGGCCGCAGGGTGGGTGCACTGAGAACCGGTGATTCTCAAAGGGCTCTATCTGCTCATTTCAGCTTCAAAACCAGCAGTGTAGAGGGAGATCTGTACAGAGTTACCTTCCTGTCACCGTAGCACTAGATTACAACTTATGCAAGGTATTTATAAAATCTATAAAGTCTAGAATAGCACCGTCTAAAGAAATAAAATGCAAGCTACACACATTATTTACAATTTTCTAGTAGCTACATCCAAAAAGAAAAAAAAAAGTGAAATTTTAATATTTTATTTACCCCAACATATCCAAAATATCATTTCAATATATAATTAATATTAAAAAGTTATTAATGAGGTATTTTACATTCTCTTTCGTACAAAGTCATTGAAATCTAGTTTGTATATTTACAGCATACCTCTGTTTGGACTGGCCACAGTCACGTGCTTAATGATGGCCTTTTATGGCTAAAGGCTACTCTACTGGACGGTGCAGGTATAGAGGTAACATGTCATCTTTATAACTGTTTTCTATTGCTGTAGAGCTTGACAATCTATGCAAATGAAGAGAGGGCCCCAGCATCCCCAGGGCACTACCATTCCCAGTTCTCTCTCTTGAAAAAAATCAAAATAACCCTACAGTAAAGACTTCTGCCACATACCACTGTTTCTAGCAATGTACTATAACTTGTAGAACTTAATAACATGGAAAAAAACTTAGTAGTATAAACCCAAATTAAAATTGTAATGAGACTGTCCACAAATAGCTCTTTAACAAATAAAAAGAGCTAATTTATTTTGCTCAGCCTAATTTATTTTGAAATGCAGGCTGAAATGACAAAACAGTGTTAAAACGCGTGTTCCCTGTGGCCCCGCAATTTCCCTTTTAGGTCTGTACCACAGAGCAACGGTTTGCTATCCTGGGTGCAAGTGACACATGCCTGGAAAATTTAAGAAGTATTCACGCCCAGGCCTACTTCAGATCAACAGAATTTATCCAAACCTCACATATCATTCACCAAAACAAACAAACCAACGAACCCGTGCGCCTGCAGAGAGAAACTCACGACAGAATAGGAAGAGACACGGTCATTGCTGTAGTTTGTAACTGAAAAACTAGAATAACCTGAGTGCTCCCAACAGGGAACTGGATATGGTTCATTCATACCCAACAGCAGTTAAAAAGAGAGAATAGGATCAAGAGAGAATAGGATCAAAATAATGTTGCTAACATTTACTGAGTAGATAGTGTGCATTTTAAGTACCATACAGGGAATGTCTCATTTAACGTCTGTAACAAACCTATGAGGTAGGTACTATTATTTGCCCTATTTTACAGATAAACAAATTGAGGTACAGAGAAGCCAAAGCCAAGTAAGTAGCCCAGGGTTAAGAAGAAAAGCCAGAAACCAAACTCAGGCAGCCTGTCTCCAGAGCCCAGTAACTTTTAACTAGAGTTCCAAGGGTTTCACTCACAGATTTTCCCCTTATCCTGTTGTATCGCTCATATGCTTTTTTCTCTCCTTTTTTTGGGAATAGGGGTAACTGCAGGTTATATCTACCCTTGAAATCTGGAGTAAGTGGTGAAAACAGTAACAGAGCAGCAATAAAAGCCACGGGAAGCTTTATTAAGCTCAGAGTTCCTATCCATGTCAAACATGGCCTGGAAGCCAGGCAAAGAGTTGATTTTCAGGGCCAACAGATCAAGGTGCTATTTTTAGGGAAACAGGAAGGAGAATGCAGGAATCAAATTGGATCTCATGGCTGGTACTTTGCTAGGGGTGGGTGGGGGGAGGGGAGGAGAACATGCTGGAAAAAAGGCCATCCTAGGGATACTGGAAAGTTGTTACCTTTTCTCCACGAAACACTGACTTCGGAATGTAGATTTACAAGGATGAGATGGCTCTTACCTGATGTGACTTTATAGAGGCCACACCTTGAAGCAGGAATTAAAAGGAAAAACTAGCATTGGAAGGGAACCATGTGTCCCACCCAGAATGAATTCACCTCCACACTTGATGTAAAAAATTGAATACTTACTGATAATCAGCTACACAGTCCAGCAGACCTACATACTTTAGGGTCTCATGTTTAACAGCGCTTTCCAGAGCCTGCACTCCACTGACATCTCTCAGAACATGCTGGATACTTTGGATGTAGCCAGATTTGAGGAGATTTTCATCAGGCTCTTTTAAGTTCCTCTGGGGTGACAGTATGCTTTCCAAGGCTTCATGAAACCGTTTCCCTTGTAAAAACATGTCTGAAAAGAAAATCAGGGGAAAAGGAAAACAACAGCAATAACAAAAAAACCCCAAACAAAGCTAATACTAACGAACAGATACTCTATAAAACTCTCAACGATCAAATTAAAAATTACATGAATTACCTTTAAGTGACAACCCCTAAGACACCGTATTTCAGCCTCTTGTGAAATACACTAAGAATGCACTTTGAAAACAAAAGGGACTAGTAGAGCTTAGATAATAAAATAGATTAAAATGAAGTATTTCTAGTAGCATTAGGTCAAAGCTAGAATTGAAGATCTGGGCTTATAGGACCACACCTAGTGAATTCACACAGAATTTAAGTGTGAATTTAAGTGTCCGTTTAATTTAGGTAACCAGTAAGTTAACTAGCTGTGATAAATATTAGGGAACTGTGCTTGTTTACAGTTCTTTTTACAACCAAATCTTAATTATGAACATAGGTGGAGGCATCCTTTTACCAACAGGCTTAGTGACTGGCAAAGAGTGAAAATCAAGGCACACACAAATTAATGTTGTAGGATTTGGGGCAGAGGGGAGGAAAATATATGACGTTCTTCTCCTGCACTTTCTTTTAGGGCAAGAACAGCCTACGACAGTGGCTCTGTCCTGAATTTTTTTTCCTCGTACACTTTTTTTTTTTTTGGCCTTCATGTAGCATGTGGGTTCTTGGTTCCCTGACCAGCGATCAAACCCGTGCCCCTTGCAATGGAAGTGTGGAGTCTTAACCACTGGACCACCAGGGAAGTCCCTTCTCATACACTTTTAAGAAAAGAGGACACAAACATATTCAACAAATGCAAGAAACACTACATATTCACTTGACTTTTGATAAGGGAAGGAGAGAAGGAAAGAAAAAGAGGGTATTGCTATGCTAAGCAGTGGCCTTGGTGCTTTCAAACTGTTAACTTTCAAACACAACAACCTGGCAAGATAAGGATCATCACCCCCATTTTAATGAAGAAGGCCTAGGCAGTGCTGTTAATCTGCCTCAAAGCAAAATGCTGGCCTGGGGCCTGGCACCAGAGCCTAAGGTCATTCTGGTCCCTCACACAGCAGAGTGAGAGATGAAAAATGAGGGACCATCAGGAAGATACACACAGAAACAGAGCAGGAGATATACATGCTTGGAGACAGACCCACAGAAAATGAGGAAAACCATCTCATCTAATGAGGTAATATCAAACCATATTACCTTTGTCAAGTATTTTTTACAAAGATTTTGAAAGGTCAGTTCTACCATTGGCAAAAAGTGGAATTGCTTCAGGGAAATTACTTGGAAAGTGAAGTGAAATTCAACTGAGGAAATAAGTTATTCTACTCCAAATTTACTTGGCTTAATTGGACTTATTAGCACATAAAAGGCCTACAAATTTAAGACTTATGGAATTAAAACCTAGGGAAAAGAAGAGCAGTATTTATCTACAGACTAGTTTTACTGAAGCAGAACACAAACATATTAAAAACATGAAGGAAAAAAATTTGTTTATCAACAGCCAAGCAAATAGACAACTCATTCCCCACTGCAGTCTTAACCCCAGGGAGGTCTTCATATTTAAGGGGCAACAAACATGGGATCTGGGTTACAGAATCCCTTAGGATTGTAAAGCTGAGAACATTAAACGTGATTAAACATGTGAAAATAAATCTTAAAAGATTCAAGAGTTATCGCAGATAGCATCAAGTCAGAGTATTCACTCAATAAATTAAAGGAATAAAAGTGAAATGTTTTCAAGTCCCAGTAAATAAACCGTATTAAAAAACAAACAAACATGAGTTTCCTATATTCTGACTGACAGCGTGGATATTTTAGAATTTAAAAAGTCAGTGTAGGACTTCCCTGGTGGCGCAGTGGTTAAGAATTCGCCTGCCAACGCAGGGAACACAGGTTCGAGCCCTGGCCGGGGAAGATCCCACATGCTGTGGAGCAACGAAGCCCGTGCGCCACAACTACTGAGCCTTTGCTCTAGAGCCCTCAAGCCACAACTACTGAGCCCACGTGCTACAACTACTGAAGCCTGTGTGCCTAGAGCCCGTGATTCGCAACAAGAGAAGCCACTGCAATGAGAAGCCCGCGCACCGCAATGAAGAGTAGCCCCCGCACACCGCAACTAGAGAAAGCCCGCGCGCAGCAATGAAGACCCAACGCAGCCAAAAGTAAATAAAATAAATAAATTTATATAAAAATAAAAGGTAATTAGCTCCTGCATATAGTCCTTGCCCCAGGGAGCCAAGGAATTTACATGGGGCTCTGGCCTTGACCATTTTTGCCATGTCCAAGTGCCACCTAAATACTCAATATTTTTTCTTTAAAACACGTGACCACAGGTTTAATGTGTTACGCATACACACAGGTTTTTTCTAAGATGCCTCAAAATAAGTGCATTGCTCTTAAATTAAAAATTAAAGTTCTTGTGTACCATGAGGGGTACATGTACTGCTCTCTGGGAAGCATGGCCTAAGGAATGCTCAGTGTAAAACTTAGCTTCAACAACTATAATCCTGATGGGGGACCAGCTAATTCTCCTGTACCATTGGTCTTTTCTTTCATCTTGCTTTTGAATGCAATCTAGTTTAAGAAAGCTATTCTCCTCACTTGTCTAAGAAGTTAGTGAGTTAGGAGTTGAAGGCTGAAGTTTATCAATTCTCAGTTCCTAATGAAGAACATCCGATCATCTCAATTTACTAAGACCTAAATACAGATCACATGTTCTGGCTTTTTGCCCATCTTTAAATTTATGAGTCAGTCTCTGCTGATAAGCAGAGCAAGGGGGTATTTACTAGATTCTGAACAGAATGCCTAGCAAACAACTAGAATTCCATTATGAAGCGATTGACTCTCCCATAATCAAACGAAACAGGCAATTCTAATACTTAAGTTTGTAGCTTATAAAATAAATGAATTTCATACATCTTTAGTCAAAGTACTTGATCTCTGTGCTTCAATTTTATCTGTGAAATGGGGTAATAGTATCTGTGCTTCCTAGAGTTGTCATGAGGATGGGTTAATATATAAAAAATGCTGTTAATACTAATTATCATTTGAAAGTAGTTCCTCACTAGTTAACGTTAGAAAAAGAACAACTCATCCTTTTGACACTGGTGCTCTGTATTCTGGAAAACATAATAACCATACAGAATCAGGATTAAGAAAATTACTTGAAGTATATTCTGCAAAGCCATCCTCTCCCAGTTCCAGAATCATCCGACGTTTCCACCTCTCCAAACAGGAAATCTGTTCTGAGGTCATGGTCTGCTGAAGGATTCGGGTCACACTTGGTATCGTATTCCTTTGCAAAGGGATTTTCAAAGGAATTGTAGGATCACTTGTTGCATTTGGTTTTCCGCTTTTCTCTGGATTGAAGAGAGGACACCAGTTTCGTGGAACTCCTGCTTCTTCTTGCTTTGGGGCCTTACACTTCCTCACAGGTCCGTAGAGTAAAGCATCTTCCTCAAACAAAGACTGTGGCGCCTGAGCATGGCCTCTGAATGACAAGACAGACCTTACTAAATCAGAGTACTTTTCTTGGTCCACTTCTTCATAGGGGTTCACTTTTTTCTTCCGGCCACACAAATAAGAGGAAGTGGAGAAGACCACACGGGGGGCTGGTTCTACAGAAAACCCCTTTGAACTTTTAAGCCGCCTGCAGATGGTCTGAAATACCTTCATCTTCAGATTTTTTTCACTTCCCTCTAGTCTACTTGTAATGTCGAGGACCTTTTTAATTTTCGCTCTCCTATCAAAGAGAAAAGTGGTGTTAGATATCAAATGTGTTAAATATTTGAACCATCAAAGCGAAAGCTGCAACAGTATGATATTGCACATTAAAATTGTATTCGGTACGCTTTTTCGACATGTTTAACAGAGGAAAACAAACCTGACTCCATACTGAATCTATTACTTTAGCTCTAAACTTTGTGCCCTGTTGCAGGGGGCTTAGTTTTTTCTGCTCTGCACCTTTTGGAAAAGTACGTTGCCTATAGCCTGAAATACACAGGAGAATCCATTCTCAAGGCTCTGACCTTTAAAGGTATTAACACTTTTCCAATCATATAGAGATTAAAAAGTTGCAGAACAGAAAATAACGATCTTGTTGCAGGTATATAGGAACACTGTGACCAGACCTGCGTGGACAGCTGTAAGAACAAAGGATTCTGGCACCAAGAAGTGGGCAACAAGCAGCCACACCCCCTCCCCTTTTAGTATAAAAGAAGCCTGAACTCTAACTGGGGAAGATAGTTCTTTGGGACACAAGTCCACCATCTTCTCTGGCTGCTGGCTTTCTGAATAAGGTCTCTATACTTTGCCCTAACAGCTCATCTGTCAATTTACTGGCTTGTCCTGCAGCCGAGCTTGGACTCGGTAATACTCGGACAAAACTATTTCTAAAGGACCGGCACCTATTAAACGTGAAGTAGACAGCTTGGGGCCACATGTCCCCAGCTATGGAGCCATGTGCCGGCCACGAAGGTAGGCGTGTGTGAGACAAAGAAACACAGGACGCTCGAGGGGCGGCGACAGGCAGTTAACAGTGCCTCCACTCATCCCTAAACACCAGATTCTCTGCTACGTATCCTGCGTGGAGAGTTCTCATCTAACCCCTCACACCCTCCAAGGTGGGCACCACTGCGACCCGGCCCGCTCAAGACGCGACACTCGCGCTCCTGAAGGGTCCCCATTGACCTGCCGGCCAGAGACCATCAGCAGGGCCCACCGCCCAATCCCCGCTCCGGCGGAGGCGCAGCCCCAGCGGGGACAGGACGGCGGCGGCCCCTCGGGCGGGCGTCAGAGTTAGGGCGGGCCAGCAGGGGAGGTACCTCGGAAGCCGGCGCGCTCTGCTAGGTCCAGGGCGCGACAATCCCGCGAGCAGTTACTTTCGTCAGTCCCGCGCTTTGCTCCAGACTTAGGCCCCGCCCCAGGCACAGCGGCCCCAGCATACACTGCGGTGCTCACGCCCCACCCCAGCCCCTCGTGCACCTCAGTGGACACTCGAGCGATCCGTGGGGAGACCCTCCCCGCACGCAGAAGCGCTGGCGCCTCCAAATCTCGCCTTCTCTCTCTCTCACGAGATTTCGTTTACGTCAGAGCTCGTCGCCATCTTGGACTCTGACTGAATAATAAATTCCCTCCCCCCAAGAGCGCGCAGCCTTTCTTGAGAAGCGCCTCGTTGGGAGAGTGTCAGGGGCACCGCGTCCTCGTGGCGGCCGGTGGTTGGCGGCTTCTGCGTGGCTCGGAGCGAGGGTAGGCCCCGCGTAGCTTCTTTGCCCGGCTCCAAGATGGACGGCAGCGGGGACGGGGGAGGCTGCCCTGGGGGAGCACGTGGGGCGCCGCTCGCCTTTCCTGGGGCTGCTGGGACGGTGGAGGAGTCGCGAGGCCTCCCGCCGCCGTCGGGCAGAGAGGCTGGCGGAGGCGGGGCCGCGGCCGCCCCCGAGACGAGCCCTGGCGGCGGCGGCGGCCCAGCCTCTTCTCTCCTCGCACAGCCAGGCGGCCACGCTCGAGGCCCGCGTCGCCATGGCCGCGGTTCCCGAGTTGCTGCAGCAGCAGGAGGAGGACCGCAGCAAGGTGAGGCCCTGGCCGCCCTCGGCCCCCGGGCTGGGAGGCCCCGGCGGTCACCCAGACTCCCACGCTCCTTGCCCTGGTTCCCGGGAGGGGCTCGCGGGGCAGGGGCCGGAGACGCGGGAGCGCGCGCTCGGCGTGGAAAGTTGCTAAAACTTCTCGGGGGAGACCGCGCAGTGCACGCGTGACCCGCTTTGCAGCAAACGACGGAGCTCGAAACCGCACCCCAGCCCCTCCAAAATACTGGGGAGATTCAGTCGAGTCAGGTATCGAGAGTGTCTCTTGCAACTTCATAAGCGCTCAGTGCACCGCTCCGGGAGGGAGTGCTGTCATTTTTAGGAGGTGCTCAAATAGTTGAACTTAAGTTTAGCTCTTAAGATTTGCGTGTTGATGTAAGGTACCCCCATGCCGCTTGGATCTTGAGGTCTAAAAGGTGACTAATGCAGTCAATTTATGTCGCCATAACCAATTGAAGATTGAGGTAACCCTCCACTTTGATTGGTCCTTTACTTATAAGTTAGTTTGAAATATACAGGGGTTGGTATGAGCCGCAACGTTTTGTGCAGAATCGTCAACAGAAACGTTTTTCTAACAGAAAATCAAAATAACTAATCTAGAAATTCGAGGCGCTCTGACATTTAAGTAACGTGGAAGGCATCTCTTAAGAAATCAAAGGCATTTTTGATCCACAGCTCTTTGGAGAGACCTTTTCATCTAGTGGTGCTAAAGGTCGCACACGGCTGCGGGATTGTTCAGCAAGGGGGTCACTGCTGTATTAGTTACTGAAATGAAGCGTGAGGATAGGGTCTTGGTTGGGGTATTTTTATTTCTTTCAAAGTGGAAAGAAGTAATTTTTTTTCCTTCCCTAAAGCCGGAAGTGGGAACTTGAGAACCATTCTTTCTAGAACATTCCAAAGGTAGTTTTCTCTCTAGACGTTTAGATGGCTGAATAGAAATTTGGGTAGATGGATTCCCCCCACCCCATCCCCTACCTTCCATCTTCTTTCTTGGTCCAGAATTTATTTTAGACAGCTCTTTAAAACTTCAACCGATCTTCCTATTTGTTAGTATAGTATACCTGTGGTTGGTTTTTAAAATAACTTCCCCACCATCCTGATCCTTGAGCAAAAGAGGATTCTGAAGGCTCCTGGTTTTAGTGACTACAGGAAAGGATTATATAGAATTGTCTTCCTGCTTTTCTTTTAATTGCAGAAATAAGGAAATAGTAAACTTAATAAAATATTACTGTAACACGTGGCTTCATTTTTCTTCCTGGTATCTGATACTAGTCCTGGGATGTGGATCAAGTCTAGATGATTTTTATTGTTCACCAAAGGGGAGTTTGGGACAAGAGTGGAATAACAGGAGGGCAAATCTTGGGCAAACTGTTCTCTTGCTGTAATTCAACTTTGTTAGTTAACTGAAATATTTTACGTTTTTGCTGAAAATGTAAGTTTAAACTTTCTGATTGCTTTGGAATTTCCATGAGGATAGGGGTTCTTGAGGTTTAGACCTGCTAATAAGGCAGGGAACATAATTAATTCTTGAGGATTTTGAGTGCTCCTGCAGAACTTTTGGCTAGTTCAGCAAAACAGGAGTACTGGCCTATATCCGGTAGCTTGGCACTTCCATTTAGTCATATCCTTTTGAGCTGAAGGTGTTGATTTGTCTCCTTTCCCAGAAAGCAGTTGCATGATTAATTTGTTCTTTAACTAGTCCTCTACTGATGGGAAAGATGGTGTTCTGGTCTTTAAATTTAGAAAAGTAAGGTTTTGCTAAGTCGAGCCCCTGAGAAATTTAACTGAACCTTTAACACCATTAGGCCGCATCTTCACGATAAAGAAACTGGTGTAGTGCAGTCCCCGCCTGCCTCTCGCACTGGCTGCATCAACATTCTAAGGTGTCTGGAGTTTTTAAAGGTGGGGGGGAGACATGGAGATTATGCAGAACCTTGTTCCCATAAGGTATTTACCCAGGCTTCCTGTTTGCCAAATGGTCCTTTAAGCAGTGGGCATCGCGTTTAGGCTCCCACTCACAGACTCGGTGTATGTCTATTGTGATGAGTCTTGGTCCCGTTTGTCTTGCCAACCTACGGCAAATGGAGTGTGAGTCCTGATTGTCTCCTGGGATTTTTATTATTCTTAACTTGTTAGTGGACTGAAGCAAATGATCACACAGGAGAATCTGTAAGGGCCCTCCCCAGCCTAGTGCTGTTACTTTCACCTTAACTTTCACTAGTTGGTTACATGGGCTTTGGGTGGACAGTGTTTCCTTCCCAGAGCCAGTCATTAATGTTTTACATTTATGCTGCTGCTCTGGTTTGCAGATTGTTAACTGGTGTGGAAGTTGTCTCTAGGGACACCACTCTCCACCAGCTTAGATGAAGAGTGTTAAAATTTATGTTAGTGTAGGAACAGTCCTGAATTTTCACCAATACTGCAGCAAGTCCAGAGTAACTGATTCGTGTGGACTGAAGTTTTGTACTATGTTTATGGCTTGACTTCTTAAATTCGGGAAGTGTGACTTCTCAAAGCTGCCCAAGCCTTAGTTCTGGATCAGTAACTTGCAGACAGTGTCTTAAGATCCCCATTTGTGAATACTACTATAGCAGGTCATGATCTGCCCACTTTTTTTTTTTTTTTTTTTGGCTGTAGGAAGAAATGGCTTAGGGCAACTATGAGAGAATTTTCTGGATTCTGAGATCCAAATTCTCATTTGCTATGAGACGTAGTAAGTGACTAACATCTAATGTAGAGCTTCAGTTTAAACCAGGGTTTCTTAACCTGAGCATTACTGATTGACATTTTGGGCTTGATAATTTTTTGTTGTGGGGAATTGTCCTTCCTGCATATTGTAGCAGTATTTCTGGCCTTTATTGGGTGACTGTAGCTCCCTTCCCTTCATCAGTGACAGTCAAAAATAAATGCAGACACTGTCAAATGTCCCTTGGTTGAGAATCACCAATTTAAACTTTCTAAAATGGTGTGATATGGGTGGGTCAGATCGTTGACTGTCTTTGGTAGAATTAGCCTTCCCCCCAGTATTGAGGAGCCTTACCAAAAAATGGTAAAGGGTTCTGGGCAGTTGAGAGTTACAAACTCTGCTGTGTTTACCATGTTGGAGTTCACTGCCCCCTTTGGACAGTGGAAACCTGAGGCTCGGATGCCACAGTACTCACAAAGCATTGTGGGGCAGAATTGAAGATCACTGAGAAATGTGCTACAGGGTGGAACTTCGTTTAAAAATCCTGCTTTTTTGCTCTGTTGTCCTGATTGCTTGAGGATATTAGGATGTACTTCTGTAGGTCAGTAGTACCACTGGCCAGTGGTGAAAGGCACATACAGTGACGTTAGGCTGTATTTAGGGAAACAACCTTTTAATGAACCCAGTTATTCAGAGAAAAGTATTTTTGGGCTTTATAAGTTCTGCCTTTTATTTTTGAAATAGCGAAGGGATAGTGGGAAATCTTGTCTTGAATGAATAGCAAATTTGTTTTTTACAGGTTCAAATTGAGAAGTTTCTCTACATCTTTACATGAGAAACTAGCTCCCCCCCCAAAAGAAAAAAAAAAATACTTCACCTCCAACGCCTGTGTATTTTCTGATTGGCCATTGAGTTAACTCTTAAGAGAGATTTCCCCCTAAAAGGGGGATATGGAATTTCTCAACTGTTTCATACCCCAAAGGCAAACCGTAAATACACAGAGAGGAGTGAAGTTGTAGTTTGAGGTTCAGGAGAGACTGAACTTTAGTTTAGAGATTGGGTTCTTGGCTTGACTCCCCCCCTTCCTTTTAGAAATTCGGTGTCACTTTTTCAGGCACTGCTATATGGTCCGGAGAGAAAAGTGTAGTTTTCTCAAAATAGTTGCTTATGTTAATCTGTGGTATGCGTTTTCTGCCAGAAGAGTTTATGGTTTACTTGTTTTTGAGGGGCAGAGCCCTAAGCCTTTGGGTCTAGTTAGTGTAAATGGTGAGGAGCACAAATGCAAATGTCACCAGCCTTAAGGCTTTCACCTGATCTTTAATGAAGAGCAGTACAAAGCTTACATGTTGTGCTAGTGGGGACCAGGTATCTGGTGAGGGATGAAGGGCTGAAATATTTATATCTGAAAGATCTGCGAAATGTGTGGTGCCTCTGACTAGCATACAAGGAATCCCACCAGGAAGCAGGCAAGCTTTTCTTCTCTCCACGCTGCCATTTGTATCTTTAACTCATGACACAAGCTCAAGCTCAGCTCCATCCACGTTGCTGAATCATCTTTGTTGGTGAAGGTAAATTTTATTCTCAAATCTTTTTCTATTTTATCTTGGGTTGATCATAAAGTAAGACTGCTTTGTAGTAAGGAGCTGTGGACTTGATAGACCAGGAACTTTTGGAAGGG